CTCTCTCACAAAAAAAAAAAAAAAAAAAAAAAAAAAAAAAAAAAAAGATGGGTGCCTGGGTGGCTCAGTCGGCTAAACGTCTGACTCTTGACTTCAGCTTAGGTCATGATCTCACAGTTTGTGGGATTGAGCCCTGCATCAGGCTTTGTGCTGACAGCGTGGAGTCTGCTTGGAATTCTCTCTCCGTCTCCCTCTCTGTCCCACTCCTGGACTATAAATAAGCAAACAAACAAACTTATAAAATAAAATAAAATAAATGAAATAAAATGAAATAAAATAAAATAAAATAAAATAAAATAAATAAAAAACATTTCTTGCTCTTCCAAAATAAGATTAAGTGTCCCTCCCCTGTGCCACTATGTCACCCTGGGATTCTCTATCACGAAGCGTAGAACTTTGCATCCAAGTTCCCTGTTCCTTTTCTGATGCTCACCAGCCCAAGGCTCCCGAGGGCAAGGACTATCGTTGATCATGCCTGAAGCCCAGTGGCTAACACAATGTCTAGTATGTAGCTGGTACTCAAAATATGTGCATTGAATGAATGGGCCATTGAGAGCATTTATAAACAGTAGAGATTGTTTCTCCCAGAGAGCATATTTATATTGGAACAGTGTATTTTTTAGACCACGTTTTTCCTGGAGGAGAGACTTTAATGGAATTGTCAGGTGCAGGAAGATGTTTTGAAACAGGTGGAGTTCATGGTGTCCCTCAAATAACTCCATGTAGGTGGCCTCTTGCTCTCCCCAGAGGTCCAGCTGGCCCTGGGCCCGTGCACCTGAAGAGGAATGTCAGAGGCTTTTACCATTTCCTGCTTTATTCAAGTGACACCAGTTTGGCTCGATTCTTCCCTCCAAACTGGGATCAATTGTTCCCCAAATGTGGAGAGAAGGGGAGACGCGTCTCGCTCTCTCCCTTGACTTCCTCCCCTCACCTAAATCCTCTCCCATCACATTTTTCATGAAGCTTAAACTAGGTTCCCAGGGAAAAGCGCTGTCCCGGTCAGGCCAGCAGCCTACACAGCTGTGGGCTCTGACACAGCTCTAAGCAACTCCACACGGGACAGAAATGTCCTAATGGGGTGTTTGAACCATGATATAATAGGGAGAAGAGGAGCAGGACACAGGGCCTAAGTGAAGCGGGAGCTTCCCACGGTCACAGAGCAGAGTGATGGTGGGCAGAAAGTCCGCCCCTGCTAACGAACCTGGTAAAGGGACAGGAAGAAAATGCACCATTTCTATGGGGCCTTTTGGGAGACTATCTTCTATGTGTCTCACATTTTTACATCTGGCGAGCAGGAGCACTGACTGCCCTTGTACTGGACTGTCTTTTCAAGGATGTTTCCAGAGTGAACAGGCTTGGAAAAAAACAGATACTCTAGAGCACAGGGCAGGTAAGCTCACTGCCCCTTATACAAAATTTGGGTTCTCTGAGCTCAGGGCTCCTCTCCCATAATGCACCTCGGAGTGCGATCAGCTGTCATCTGGCTCTCTTCCCACTGCCCCCGTGGAATTAGGTGCCATTATGCTGATGTTCCTGGAGCTTGCTGGGCTAGGAGTAAGCAAGGGCTTTGTTTCCAATACAGGAGTGTTGTGTATTCATCCATGAAACTGTCAGGTCAACTTGTTAGCTTAACAGTAGCATAAAGTTTCAGACCTTTCACAGTTCTTGACAATGCTCTGTCCTCTTTACCTAAAGGCAGCTGATGAAAGAATTCGGCCCTCGGTGGGGGTTTGTGAACAGTGTATTCTGGAAAGTCTGCCCTCTCTGCGTGTTGAACAGGTGACCAACCCAAGATAACACGACAGATGCCAGCAAGTCTAAGATTGTTTCCCTTACTACTCTGTTATCTGCCTCATGATTTTGCCTCGTTCTATCCCTGAACATGCTCCCAGCAGGGCACTTCCGATGGTTTTCATCTAACCTAGACTGTTGCCTTCTGTCTTCTAGAACCCCAGCCTCTAGCCAGTGTCCCTTCTATGGCTTAACCTCGATTTCTCGAACCTCTGGCTACTGCCCTGGGTTTTTTGGTTTGTTTGTTTGGTTGGTTGGTTGGTTTTTTTTTGTTCTGGTTTTTTCCTACTCAGAAGGAAGGATGTGAAGCAATTTCTCTGATATCACCACAGAACCAATAACACTCTCCAGACTTCACAGTTCTAAGGAATCTTGTTTGGTTTTCAGATGCGGCTGGAGTGATTTGCACCCGGATGCTTAGACCCGCCATCTGCTCCGAGACTACTCAGAAAGATCCACCCATGCACTCTCTGGCTGCATACCAGCCTGCCCTGCCTGCAACTGTTATTTCCCAGGACTCCATACCTATGCCACAGTGTTTGAAGCCGTGCTTCAAGGAATCATGAAAGCACTTGCCTGGACCTGCTACACGGCCTAAGTATAGCGTAAGTTGACCTTGTCTTACAGGGAACGGGTCAAGAAATGGGCCTCTCTTTTGCATACTACCTGTTTGTTTCTCAGTGGAAAGCATCAGGCAGATGGGCTATGCAAAGGAAGACAGGGGGACAGAAAATGAGCCGTCCTTTCCATCAAGCCTTTTTCACGAAGAGGGTTTGCTGGGGTCCTAGGCTCTTGAACAGCACGGCCAACTTCTTTCTCGGAGGCGCGAGTCCACTAGATGATCCAATTTCTCGTGGGAGCTTTCGTGGGGGTTTCTATGGCGCACATGAATGGAAATTTTGCAAATAACCCGAATGTTCGACCCATGATATACATGTTTCTTTATGGAATAGACTTAGTTTAGCAATGAACTCATGCAGCTGACGTGCCTGTAATTCCCTGGGGAGGGAGGGAAAATGCCACCCACCCTCCAGTTCTCCAACAATTGCCCAAATACTACACGAACGGGCCGATGAGCAGTGAGTATTTCCTAATACTTATTAGCAATAAGCATTGCCTAGACTCAGCGTAAGCAAATTTCGAAGTAGACGGGAAGGGATGATGAGCACAGACCGTGCTTCATGGAGCTTAGAACCAAGCTGAAGAGAGGAACAGGAATAACCTGTTGAGAAAGGAATAACCTATACCAGCCAGTGAGTGAGAAGACACATATGAGCAGATACACAGATGTTGCAGATGGTAACCAGTGTCGGGGGATGGGTTAAATAGGCAGTGGGGATTAAGGAGGGCACTTGTTGTGATGCGCACCGGGTGATGTATGCAAGCGTTGAATCACTCCATTGTATACCTGAGACTAATATTACCCTGTATCTTAACTAACCACAATTCAAATAAAAACTTTAAAAAAAAAGCGCCATTTCATCCTTTTCCTTCTCTACTCAAAAAGTCTCCAGGATGCTAATTTCCAACTGAAATAAGTCAAAACTTGAGGATTGACAGAAGAGGAGGCTCCAGGTTTGAGATAATCTGGGGGTCAGTCCGGGGATGGTAATGGTGGAAAAGGACAAGAAAGAAAGGAAAGGTGAAACGAGACTTGATGTTGGGAATATAGGGGATAAGAGGAGGCAACATCACTAAGAACCTTGGGCTTAATCCTTGAAGACTGGAAGATGGGCAAGGGACAAAAATAGAGAAGAGCAAAGAAGTAAGGACATTCAGGGCTTTGGTCATATCATCCGCCACTGGACACACACTCCGTAGGACACAGGAGACGTTAGTATGTGTCTGTTGAACAGACAAATGAAAGAATGAATGAACCGGCCTCTTATCTCATTATGCCCATCATTTTATTTTATCTCGACAGCGACTCTACTTGGCGATCCTGTAATTACCCTGATGTTACTGGTGTCTAAACCAAGGCCCAGAAAGGTAGCTTCATCCTTCCAAGATCCCACAGCCAATGAGTGGAAAGTGAAGCCAGGCAAGTCTGATGTCGTCGCCCATCTGCCACCTTGCCCTCCGGAAACATCAAAGAGTCCAACACATCTGAGCTGAGAAGATAGGTCACCACTAGAGAAATCGCTGTGGGACTCATTTGCAAAAGGTGCCTGTTCATAACTGAAGCGGGAGACACGAACGACACAGCAGAGGGATGTAGAGGTCCTTGACGGGAGCAAGGAGGGATGCCCCCATCTTGGAGAGAAGTAGAGCAAGAGGAACTCTTGAGAACCGCAGAGAAACCAAGAGGAGAGCTAACAGGAGGATCATGGGACTGAGACAGAAAGCTTTGTCAGCGAATACATGGCCAAGGACATCAAAGGCTGCAGAAGTGTCTTGGAAGGGAAGAACAGGGCAGCAGGATAGGAGTAAAGGAAAGGTGTTGAGTGCAGCAGATTGCTTGGCTTTGGACATTCTTCTCCTTGAACCTCAAGCAAGCTGCCCGAACCATGGGAAACGTGTTTCTTTTTTGGGTGCTCGTAATACACATTTGGCAGGAGAGAGTGAGATAACGGAATGAAGGGACTTATTGCCAGACCTACCATGTAACAAATAACAACTAACATTTATTTTTTATTTTTTTATTCCTTTTTAGAGAGAGAGAGAGAGAGAGAGAGAGCACCAGCACGGGAGAGAGCAGAGGGAGAGAGAAAGAGAGAGGATCCTAAGCAGGCTCTATGCTCAGTGCCAAGCCTGATGTGCTACTCGATCCCAAGACCCTGGCATCATGACCTAAGCTGAAATCAAGAGTCGGATGCTCAACCGACTGAGCCACCCAGACGCCCCAACCGCTACCATTTATGAGGCACCAAGTATTTGTCTAAACATTCAACGTGCGTTGATTCATTTAATCCATGCCAACGACCTTGTTAGCTAGGTTCTGTCTTAGCTTCAGTTTGCAGATGACGAGACACAGCCTCAGAGAGTTCAGGTAAATTCCTCAAGGTCACACAGCCTGGGCGTGGCAATCATTGGGATTTAAACCCAACTGCTCTGTTCCCAGAGCCACCATGCTATGCAAAATTTTGTTGAACAAATTATGCATAAATATTAGTTTCTTTCCAAGAACAAGTGAGCTATATTATTTTTTTTTAAACAGGAGAGAATCAAATTTGATAGGTGTACCTGTGGGGAATCCACATAGATGTAAAATTCCTCCTGTATTAATCTTTTTTAAAGCTGGTAGATTAAAAGTACTTAAACCAGTGGACCATAAACTAAATATGGTGTGTGACCTGCAAGTTAAGGATGGCTTTTATGTTGTTAAATGGTTGAAAAAATATATTTTTACGAATTTTTGTAAAACGTTTATTTATTTTGAGAGAGAGAAAGAGAGACGGAGTGCAAGCAGGGGAGGGGCAGAAAGAGACGGAGACACAGAATCTGAGGCAGGCTCCAGGCTCTGAGCTGTCAGCACAGAGACCGACAGGGGGCTTGAACTCATGAACCACTAGATCATGACCTGAGCCAAAGCGGGAGGCTTAACAGACTGAGCCACCCAGGTGCCCTTGAGAAAAGATTTTTTTAATAATATTTCGAAACACTTTAAAGTTATACAAAATTCAAGTGTAATTTCCTCAAATAAAGTTTTCTTGGAAACCAAACATGTCCATTTACATATTTTACCATAAGAGCAAAATTAAACAGTTGTGAGAGAAACGGCATGACCCACAGAACCTAAAATGCTTACCATTTGGCACTTTCAGGAAAAGTTTGCCAACCCCCTGATATGACCAAAAACCCTTTGGCGAATGGAAGAAAGGTGGATGTGAGGACGTGAATTTCTCAGGAATGTTGTTGCCCTTCACCCCTCCCGAGGCCCCCTCCTCCCATTCTCGAGGGGCTGCGGGTGCACCAGCACTTCATTAGGGGATGGTGTTGGGTGGAAAGAAATTTCTGACATAGCAGTTGGGTGAATTTCTCGCGTGGAGAGAGAAGTCGGAAGGAGGCTTGCTGGTTGGGCGAAGGTGAGGGTCTCTTCTCAGTCCTGAATTACAGCCACATGAGTTTCTCTCTCATCTGTAGAACTATAACTTTGAATGAACGTAGGAAGTGTAGGAGCTCAGCAGTCCCGGGAGGAGACGCTATGGCCCAATCACATCCTGGGTTGGGTGTCTTCTCCCTGGCCGGTCTGTGATCAGCAAAGCGGTCTGCTCAGACCCCTTCCTAGCACCTACCCGGTCTTCACTGGGAAACTGCAAGGCCTCTGGGGCTTTTGCACAGGGCAAAAAGGGCACAGGGAGCCTGTTTGTCTGGGTTCTTTGCTGTCCTTTGTCAGCGGCCCTCCAGGGTGGTGATCGAGGGTTGATTCCTTCCTTTCCGTCTTGCAAGTGATCAATAGGGTAGTAACAGAGAAATGTCTGCATGTTTTCTTTTTTAATTTTCTAAAATCGTGGTAAAATATGTACAATATAAAGTTTACTATTTTAACCATTTTTAAGTGTACATTTCTGTGACGTTAAGTACATCCACATTGTTGTACATCCGTCTCCAGAACTTTTTATCTTCCCAGCTGATGATACTCAGCATCCACTGGACAATAACTCCCATGATCCCCTCCCCCTAGGGCCTGACACCCACCTGTTTCTGCCTCTATGATTTGATTTCTCTAGATATTTCATGTCAGTGTCACCATGCAACATTCGTCCTATTGTGTCTGGCTCGCTTCACTTAGAATGTCTTCAACATCATCCATGTTGCGGCATGGGTCAGAATTTCCTTCCTTTCTAAGGCTGAATAATATTTGATAGTATTTTATTTTGTTTATTCATCTGTTAATGGAAACTTGAGTTGTTTCCACCATTATTTTGTGAATAATGCTGCCATGAACATGAGTGTGCAAATAACTGTTCAAGTCCCTTCTTTCACTTCTTTGGGATATATATATATATACGCATAAGTATGTGTGTGTATATATATATATATGTATATATATATATATATCTCCATCCATACATACACACACACACATAAAAAAAAGTGGAATTGCTGGGTCATTTGGTAACTCTATTTTTAAGTTTTGGAGGAACAGCCATACTGTGTCTCATAGTGGCTGTACCATTTTGCCTTCCCATCTTCACTGCATAATGGTTCCAGTTTCCCCATATCCTTGGTAATACTTATCCCCTCCTTCTTTGTAATAGTAGCCATCCTAATGGGTATTCAGTGGTATCTCATTGTACTTTTCACATTTCTCTAATGGTTCGTGATGAGGCATCTTTTCATTGGCCGATTGTCTGTCTTTTTTGGAGAAATGTCTGTTCAAGTCCTTCGTGCATTTTTTTAAACCAGATTGATTTTGTTGAGTTGTAGTTCCTTATATATTTTAGATATTACTCCCTTATCAGATATATAATTTGCCAATATTTTTTTCCTACCCCGTGTGTTGCTTCTTCACTCTGTTGATAGTGTCCATTGATGCACAAAAATTTTAATTTTGATGTAGTCCGACTTATCTGTTTTGTTGTTGCCTGTGCTTTTGGTGTCATAGCCAAGAAATCATTGCCAAACCAATGCTATTGGGGCTTTTCTCCTATGTTTCCTTCTAAGAGTTTTACAGTTTTAACTCTTAACGTTTAGGTCCTTGTTCCATTTGGGGTTAATTTTTATATATAGTGCATGGTAAGGGTCCAATTTCATTCTTTTGCATGTGGACATCCAGTTTTCCCAACATCCTTTGTTGAAAAAACTATCTTTTCCCACACATTGAGTGGTCTTGGCACCCTCATCAAAAATCTTTGATCATATATGTGAAGGTCTATTTGTGAGTCAGCTGGAGTTTTGATATTAGCAGGCATGCTGCTCAAGTCTAGACCTAAGTTGTGTAAATGCTCCATAGATGATCTAATTAAAGAGTCAATGCATTCATGCTATCAGACCATTGGTGACAGCTTATCTTGTGCTACAGTTTCCGATGCATAAATCTGTATCACCATGGGCTTGCGAGCTCCTAGAAAACAGGAACTCTCTTATAATTCACATATAAACTTACTCTATGTGTTTTGTGCAACTATTATGTGTCCGGCATCATATAGCTCTAAGGATGCAGACATTTTTATACAAGAGCTCGCAGATTAGTGGAGAAGCAAACACACAGGCATACAAATGTCTTTTTGTGAGAAGAGTGCTCTAGAAGGTGAACTAGGGGGACAAAGAAGAAAGTGGTAGAATCCAACGAGAGAGGAGGGACGAACTTCTCAGAAGTGGTGACACTTCTGCTGAGTTTTGGAGGATGATTCAGAGTTTGCCTGACAAAGAAAAAAGGGTGGAGGTCATAGGGACATTCAAAGCAGAGGAGCCATGTGTTGGAGGGAGCTGGAGGAAGGCCACAATGTGCCACCGGAGGACTATCCTGGAGCATATATTACAAGGCCAGGAGAGTGGGTGAGGAGCTTGGTAGGCAGAAGTCAGGTCCCAGAATGTGAACTTTATTATGCATGTGACTGAAAGGATTTGCCTGTCTACCCCTTAGACCAGTCTTTAGCACCTGTAATTATTTCTTCATTTGATTTTAGTCTAGTAAAATAATTATTTGTGTTTCTTTCCCTTCTCCCATATTGCCTCCTTTGCTTCTTTTTTTTTCTTCTCTCTCTTTGTTTTCTTTTCTCTTCCCTCTTTGGTGGCTTTCCTATTTTTTTCCTGGAGATACTTCTCAGCTACAGAAGAACATAAACAACACCGGGGCATGAATTCAGACAAAACAACCACCACAAAAAAAGGGAACTCATACAAGAAAACACTGAAGCTACCTAGGTTGGGCTCAGTTGAACTTCCAAATGTGTTTGAAATTAGGTCATCTCAACCATGACTACAAGTTCAAAACATTCAAAGCAACCTTACTGGAACTGGAACAAGGCATATTGGGTTTCCTCTAAAGGATTTTTATAAGTGTAGCTAAGATCAGAGCTCTCAAATGTGAAAATACATAAAATGAAAGCCCATGAGCAAATGGTCTTCATAATAAATGGCATTAAAACTTCCAAACTACCAAAAGTTGTAATCCCTTAGTAACATACTACTTATAGGAGTAGTGCCTATTCAGCCACCTCATTTATCTGGGCAGGGCCAATCTGACGAAAGTGAGCAGAGGAAGCATTGGGAACAATCAAAGCATATGCCGAGTCCGTAAACTCAGACAGGATTTGCTCTCCTTTTAACCCAATACAAGCACACTTGGTTGCCTAGTTTCCTAAGAGACAGAATATGACCAGTAAGTTACAAGGGCACCAAAAGAGAGATGGCTAGAAACAGGTACAATGTTCTTCTGAGAAAAAAAAATACTATTGGTTTGATAAGGAGAAGACAGAAAAAAAATATGAAAAGAAAGATCCACAAACTTCAAAGAGAAAACCGATATACTATATACACACACACACACACACACACACACAC